AACTAACTATATGTTTCTTTACTTTCACTTTTGCATTATTGTTTTTTGAATCACTAAAATTGTTGAGTCAAAAAATAAGTAAATTTTCGATAATTCAATGATGAAAAGAGAAATTAAAATAAACAATTTAAAATACTACATGAACAATTAACGACAAAAAATAAAAAATTAAGTAAAAAAATATTACAAAAAGGCATAAACATATTGATCTCACATATTTCTAATAAAAATAAAAATTAAGTAAAAAGAAATTACAAAGAGGCAAAAACATTTATTGATCTCACATATTCCTAACTGAAAAAAGAAATTCAAATTGATAGAGTTGACACGTGTCGCGATCATATGAATTGGTAATATTGAACATCAACCTTTATAGTAATTATAATTGTAATTCTTTTCATTTTACGATTAGTAATTTACTATATTATTTTATGAATCGATTATGAATTTGCATATTTTTTGGAGTGACATTTAAAGATTTGCCATTTTTGCTAAAATCTTATGGATATATTATTTTTCAGGCTATAAAAATATAATTTAACATACGATTTGTTTTTGATCAATTTCCGGTGAATGAAAAAGACGGGAAAAACTGAAAAGATGAAGAGAAATCAGGTTTGTTTTTGATCATTTTCTGGTTCCCTTTGTCCCCTATGGATCGTGTGAGGGTGTAGAGGAAGAGAAAGTTGTTGTGTCTGAGACTCCCCTTGTTCCCTATGGATCGTCTAAGAGTGAAGTGGAAGAAAAAGTTATTGTGTCTGAGACTCCTCTTGTCTCCTATGGTCTTATAATTCTTTCTACTCAGTGGTAAAATAATGAAGAAATTTTTTATCTTTATTTGTACTAACTTTGTTAGCTGCTAGTCTTTTGACGAATGCACTTGAGTAACAAACTATATAAATTTGGTACTTTTAGTAATTAAGTAAAATCCGAGCAACAGTTTTGAGCCGAATCAAAAAAAAAAAAAAAAAAAATCTCATGTGATGTGATGTGACTTATTAAAACTGCGTCCCGTTTCTCATTTTGGTAGCTAAACGTCGCACCGTTCTATGGTACGTTAGACGGCAAGCTTTCTGCTGGACCTAGCTTGCTGCCTCAGGCATTAAGGACACTGCCATGAGTTACAACATTGTCGGGGAAAAAGAAGCTCCAAAAATTGAAAACGTAATTAAAGTCCAACAGCTTCTCATTCAGGGATCCTGCAATCTAGGGTTCGTCTTTCTGGTAAGTGGTAAGAATTACTTTGCTAATTTTCTTAAACCTAGTTTTCAATTTTAGTTCGTTACCTTCCTCGTACAGATTGCTTGTGTGGACTCTGTTTTTCTTTTGGTTTTAGATCTTACTGCTTTTGCTTTGAACTGTAATGTTGTTCACATTGGTAATCCTGAAATTGTTTGAATAGTGCAATGTGTTTAAAGTTTCATACTTTAGAGAAGATTTGATTATAAAATATATGAATCAGTAACTCGTGGAACTTGTTATTATGGAAAAATCCAAAATCTTTAGGATTGGTTGGTGAAATGTTTTTTTTTTTACTGAATGGTAGGTGTCTCTATCAAACCAAAGCTTTAGGAGATGGAAAGCATGCGCAGCTTCTGGCAGCTAGGAGATGAGCTTCGAGGACAATCTAAAGCTTCAGAGGATCAAAAGTGGTTCATGGCTGCATCTAAACTAGCTGACCAGACTAGATCCAAGGGTGAACGTTCGAATAATCTTGATCTATCAAAGGGTCCAGTTGAAGCAAGACCGAGGGAGAAATTTGGGTTTCAAGAGGAGAACAAGTTTGAGACTTTTAACTTCAACATGATGAACTCGGAGCTTAAGTTCAATGCTGGCTATGATTTTTATGTTTTTGGCCAGAAACATCTTAGTGGGGGCAAATTTAGCTACAATCAGTTCACCAACAGAGAAGGCAACAACTTTAGCAGCACTCATAACAATGACTCTATGAATGTTGCTGCAGACAAAAGGTTTAAGACCTTACCTGCCTCGGAGTGCCTCCCAAAGAGTGAAGTGCTTGGAGGTTATATCTTTGTCTGTAACAATGACACAATGCTAGAAGATCTTAAGCACCAGCTCTTTGGTATTCATTTTATCTTCGAGTCTGCTCATTTAATGGTTGAATTTCCCTTTTCTCATATGTATTTATGTCTTCTACTGTCACTTTTGTGCCCCTCAGGTCTGCCACCGAGATACAGAGATTCGGTTAGGACGATAACACCTGGCCTGCCTCTGTTTCTCTACAACTACACAACTCATCAGTTGCATGGAATTTTTGAGGTTCGTTCTATAGTGCTTTAATTTTTTAATGGTGCTCACGTCTTACTCTATGACTCCATGATTGTTGTACCTCTGTGTTTTGCACAGGCAACAACCTTTGGAGGTTCAAACATTGACCCAACTGCTTGGGAGGACAAGAAATGCAGAGGAGAATCCAGATTTCCTGCACAGGTTCCTTTTATCTTCTCTGATGTGGATTCTGTCTTTCATCTTTTTTTCAAGCATTGATTCACTCACCCCAAATGGTGATTAACTACATAATAGGTGAGAATTCGTGTAAGGAAACTGTACAAAGCTTTGGAAGAGGATGCTTTCAGGCCGGTTTTGCACCACTATGATGGTCCCAAGTTTCGACTCGAACTCACCATCCCTGAGGTATGCAAATCATTCGATACAGGCCGTTCTTGTCCCGCTCACTTTAGTTTATACTAATTAAATTGTGGATGACACAGACACTGGCTCTGCTGGATCTCTGTGAACAAGCTGGTTCTCCCTAAGCCCTTGCAGATCCCATTTACATTGGGGACTTAGTGTCTGCTTATTCCAAGGCTTCAAGTGTGTATTTGTATGTGTGCTTTCTACCCTTTCTACATAAAAGTAGAATTTAAAAGTGGCTCACTGCAAAATAAGCCATGATTGTGAAAGATCCATGTTAACGAATGTGTTCATATATAATCATGAAACTAGAATGATTATCACATCTCCTTGCAAAAATATCTTCTTTGTGACCTCTCTCCAAACAGATTCAATTAGAGAACTGCAACATACAACAAAGCGAAAATAAGTAGCAGCCAAGTGGGTTTTACTGAGGCTGTTCCACCAAGAGGATGTACAATCACTTCATCAACCACAGGACCACAAACAACATCCTCTTTTGTCATTGTAGCTGAGTAGCTGGTGAAACTTATCTGTGCTGCATCTTTGTCTGCTTCAAACACTAACCCAAACTTCTCACCAGAGCCAGTCCCATTGCTCTCCAATGTGAAGTTTTGAGTTGCGGAGCCAGCTTGAACACCCACCACGAAATGTCCTCTGCACGCATCATTAGCATCTCCCAAGGTAAATGTGAGGTTGTATCTTGAACCTTCACTTGTGCCTTTTGTTGCTGTCTGTATGCCAGATGGAGCTGTGTAAGACAGAATTTCTATAGCAGCTTTTCCTTCTGGGACATGGAAGTGCTCCGAGTCTATGTATCTGACTGTTCCTATAACAGACCACTGCCTTAATGGTGATTGGATCAGGCTTGGCACCGCGTCAATCAGAACTCCATCGGTTGAGTTGGGCAAAAAACCCGGTCCAGATTCAAATCCACCATTGATTAAGAGGTTTCCTACACCAACAAATTCAGAATATGAGTCTATGCAGCTAGATTTACAAGACATCAACTTATAGAAACCAGATCTGCTTTGTCATGTTCCATGTTGAGCTATGAGTTCAGCATTAACATTCTCGAAAGCAGAAGGGACAAGGAGAAGTAGCTTACCACTGTCTTGGACCAATGTTACACCAACAGTCTTGATAAGCAATGTGTCAATGATAGGCCAACATGTGGAGTTTGTATCAGAATCAGAATCTATTGCCTGACTTTCAAGAACTAAGTTAATAGGCTGACCATTCCCCCAACTACCCAAGTTATGACTGTAGCTCTGCCATGAAACCTTACTGTAGTTTTGTCGATAAGAAAAAACCGCATTACTGTCTGGCCCCGAGACACTGAGACCAGCAGAGCTTGAACAGTTTTGGCCTGCGTGGATCAATGCGAATGTGAGGATGTAGTTCAAATCATCACCTTTGGCAATGAATGTTTGATTGATCTTGCCATCTTCACTGAGCTGAACGGCATGTCCGGTATCAGGCAATTCAACATAAAGCACTGTCCCTTGGAATGTCCATCCAGGGAGTGTACTGTTCTGATCCAGCGACACAGAGCTAGCATTTGAGTTTGTAGTCAAGTTTAACGGTGGAGATTCAAAGTCTGGATTTTCCAGAAAATCTGCATATCAAAATGTACAAACTCTAGTTAACCAATGTCAATGATCAAGATTTGAGTTCTGAAGATGAAAAGAAGGAATATATTAATAAGCATTTGAGATTCCAATGTACCTGAAGAGGCGCAACAGGAAACGAGAAGCAACAGGAAAACTCTCTGAAACCATATCGCCATTTTGCTTCAGACTACAAAGAAATTTTTGAACGTCAACGCTTCTTGGATCCAGTGATTGTAACTTCTTTTTTTTGTGTCTTAATTAGTAAATTATTTAACGAGAAGAATGATGCTGTAACATGTTAGCATAAAGTTGACCATTTATTAAAATATACTAATAATTCTCTTTCACCTTTGTGGACTTGTCTTTTAGTTGTGCACAATTGACAAGACTAAACACACAGAGGGTTTGAAGCCAAGGCCATCATCCCACTTAAGATAAGCAAGGAGCCAAGGACGTAGGGTGCTTCTTACCTAAAGTAGAACTGTGTCGTTTTGGATCTGGTTCTAGTGTTAGTACATTTCAGGAAACAAAAGGTAGTTGAACCTAACTCTTAACTCAGTCTTAGTGGTGTACTGACCAAAATTTTGCTTTTAACCAGTCTTTGAAGAGATATATATTGCATAATCGCAAAAATCAAGCTAAGTCACGAAATGAAATAACCTACTAAATACTTGTGGAAATACCAAAAGAATTTTGCCATATATGATATATATTACTTTGTCCAACGTATATACCGTATTTTTTTTTACTTTTTTTTCGTCACCAACGTATATACCGTATATGATTACTACGTATCAAAAACAAATCCTGATTGAATTTGGAATTTGATTTGGTTTAGATTGCCTCGTCGTAAGTGCCTTTAGAAAGTAAAAGACTGCAGTTTGTGACGACTTTTAGATATGGCTTTGGTTCATAAACGTCAATCCCTCAATTCTAGGGGGAGGGATTGGTCGAGCTTCCTGAGGATTTGATCAGATTGGTTCTGGGACGGCTGAGGTTCTCGGATTTTCATCGAGCTAGGGCGGTTTGTTCCGCTTGGTATAGGGTTTGGGGAGAATGTTTGTCCAAACCTAACCAGGTTCCGTGGCTGATTCTGTTCCCTGATCCAGCACAAACCAGACGCAGTTGCATGTTGTACAATCCGCAGGAAGAAGAAAACGTTTACACAATTCAAGATCTTGGTGTGGATCCTTGCCTTGCAAGTTGCGGCACCTGGCTCCTCATGTCGGACCCTCGGTTAAATCTATACCTTGTGAATGTGCTAAATTTGGAGAGGATTAACCTACTAGCTATTGAGTCCCAACGCGACCAGCTCTTTTCAAAACCACTCGGATTCTACAAATACTGCGCTGGGCGTCATTTTGCAAGCAAAGCCGAGATGATTGGGTACCCTGCTACTGATAAGGCAGTTGTGTGGATAGACGAGAAAACTAAAGACTACGTAGTTGCTTGTAGTTGGGGTGCACACAGGCATACGGCCTTTTGCAAGAAAGGAGATTGTGAATGGCGCCAGATTCCTCCTTTGTTGGGGTGTAGTGATATTGTCCTCAAGGGCCACAAACTTTACATTTACTATGAGGATGGTCGCATCGGAATCTCGGATTTGAAGTTTCTAACAAAAACTGCTCAGGTTCAGCTATATCCTGGTCCTCAGCTTTCGCTTCCGCTTGGGAAATTTATGGCGCCATGGATCATTTCTGCCAGATTATATTGACTGGAAGACCAACATAGTAATCACCATCTCTGGAGATATTTTGATGGTTGCCAGCGTTCTTAAACGTAGTGACCTTTCTTGGCATTTCCGCGTCTACAAATTCAACTCAGCCAACAACGATTGGGAACAAACTGTTTCACTCGGCGACCAGGCCGTGATCTTGGATCTAGGTATCACCGTGCAAGCATCCTCCGATATCCAAGGAATTACCAGAAACTCCATCTATTTCAGCGGCCTTCAATCTAGCCAAAAGGATGTCTTCGTCTTCAATCTCTCCTCCCAGAAGATTCAACGCTTTTCAGCTTCTTCTATTTCCTCCAGACCATTCTTTAATGCTCGCTGGCTCTTCCCCACTTCTTAGTTCACAATGATTGATACCCTTTCCCAACATTTACTTTTTTGTTCAATTTTATGTCGCTTTTACTTTTTCTTTTCTAATGCCAATGTTATTTTCCTTTTGCTATAAAACCCAAGACTTAACCATTAAAGCAAAAGCTACAAAACAAAGCTAATTATATAAAGTAATAATGTTTAAACATACACAAGATTACAGGTACACTAGGTCCCTTTTAAACCAGACTGATCTCAACAATATCTTCTTCTAAAAATGCTCAAACAGATGAAGAGACTTGTATCAAGAACCTCACCAACTCCCTGGCCCATCGTTCCCAGCTGCTGGTCTCCGGTTCAAGTAACGTATAACTGCATCTTCCACCCTGCAAACATTTTACCCCATATTATGATTCAGAAACAGTTTACAACTCTAACATATATAATTTGTGCGAATAAAGGCCAGAGTAGCAGAGACTAGATGATGAGCTTACCAAGGTTGGTTGAAGAAGTCCGATCGACGTTCTCTCTCAGCATTTCGACTGGCTTCTCCCGCTACGACCTTCAGATCCTTGCTCTGAGATTCGATCAGGGCGTTTATGAATTCAACTGGCGATTGGCTGAACCCCAAGAAAAATGCCCGCCTCCTCCTATGCTCATGGATTTTCCTTATGGCTGCACATATTGCTTCATCACAAGCCTCAATCTCTTTGTTCTTCTCTGCGTTGGCTAGCAAATTGTTCAGATCCCTTTGGATCGGGAAGGGTACATCCACTAGCACATCGTAACATGCTGATACGGCCGGATTATTTCCTGAGAGCTTGATTTTGTGTTCCAAGTGAATAGGTGGTGGAGGCGACAAGTGATGAGATATTTTCTGAGAGACCATAGTGAATTTCAACTTTTCTTCCCCAAAAACTTTCTGAAGTGCAGCATCACAGTTGAAGAAAGAGGGGTCATTTGGGTTCTGCAGTTTCCTCGCCTTAACGTAATGCCAAATTGCAGCGATGATTCTTGGGCGGGTTTCAACCTCAATCCCGAGAACATCCATCAATGCAGTAGAAAGCTTGAACTTTTCAGGGACGTAGTTCATCTCCAACCGTATACTAGCTGCAAACTCCTGATTCCCTTTCCTCTTTATCTCAAACCCTTCCTGGGGAGCAGGTGATCGAGCATTCTCCCATATGATCAATGGGTTCTCAGGATACAGCCTCTGATCCAGGGAAACTGTAACCCTTTTGAAGAAAGACGAGAATTTGGGATGCAATGGGTTTGCTTTCTGAACAAATCCTGGCTGGTCGGGATCCACCCCATCTTCCAGGATCCTACCAATAATTTTAAGAGTCCATGTTGGCGGGTCAGCATTAGGATTCCCAGGGATCGTGTTGTTTTGGTTAGCAAACGAGTTGAAAACGTAGATCCTAAGAGTCTTCTGTATGCAGGGAGGGTTTTTAAGGGCTTCCTGGATGTCAACTTTCTTTCTAGTTAACGCAGCATCGACCCGAGACTCAAACTCCAGAAGTTGTGTGTATAAGGCAGACTCTGGCAAGATTGCTGCCACCCGCTCCTGCAATGACTTCTCTGGAAGCTTCTGTTTCTTTTTCCGAGCAGCTGGAGTCAACTCCATTGTTCTCATGGGGGAGATAGTGTTGTTACTCGCTGGAGCACCAGGAGGTCGCATCGGCGGTTTCTGCTGGAATCTCTTCATGTTTAAACTTCCAGGAGTCGTCAAAGAAGGAGAAGAAGGACCCAAGCCACCAATCCCCGGAGAACCTTGTGCTTGGTTCATCGTCATGCCTTGAGCTTGTAACTGAGCTTGCAGTTGTGCTTGAACTTTAGACTGTGCCTGAGCATGGGCTAGGGCTTGAGCTTGTGAGAACTGAAACTGAGCCTGAAAGTTAGCTGCCATTTGAGACTGAGCAAAGCCTTGGTTTCCAGGAACAGATGCAGAGGCCATCCCAGGATTACCAAAAGGCGAAGGCGCAGAGCCTTGAGGCTTTTGTGGATTGTTGTTGTTACCCGACATTGCTATATAAACCTATCAGCCTGAAAAATTCAGAAAAAACACTCTCTTGAAAAATAAACTTCCATTACACCTAAGGTATCATAAGATATCTAAGAAATATGAAGAAATTCTTGTAGAAATTCAGATGAATGCAGATCGGTTAGCTAGAGAAATCGAAGCCTCAAAACCCTAATTTTCTAAGATTGCTACACAGTTCAATTGAATAGGAGTAATACCCAGGATTAAATTACACCAAAGAGAAAGAAAGACTGCAAATGCGAACGAAGAACTCGATTGGAGAATTTTTAAAAAATACTAGTAAGTGGCCATTAAAAGATCTGGAATTCATAAAATCCTAAGAGATATAAAAACAGAGAACCCAGAGCCTATACACCATAAAGATCGAGAGTTTCTTACAAAAGGACGAAGATTCGTAGCCACGTATCCTTCTTCTGAATCTCCTTCTCTCAGGATTTCACCGGTGTTCAGCTGCTTCTCAGTTGTCGAGACTCGAGAGAGAAAACAAATGCCCACTTTTACTGACCGGGTTAAGACCCGACCCGTATTTTTTAAAGCCCACACTTAGTTATATGAAACTGGCCCAACTTTTTAATCCACGTTTTTCTTGTCAACAAATTCGCATATTTGAGTTTTTTTGCTTTCCATATTTGAGTATTTGACAACAAAATTAGAAAGAAATTCTGTTTTACTATAGTTTTCGGGGTTTTTTCAAATACTAATTTATAGTTTAAATTTATCTGCAACCATTTCATATCCTTTTTTAGATATGCTTTTCTTGGGATGATCGAATTTATTACCGCATACTCTTTACAATATCATCCGTTTTTCTTAAAATATTTGTTTGACATCTAGTTTATAATTTGTTTATAACTAAAACTAGGGTAAATAAGATACTGGTTGCCCCATTTTTTTAGACAAAAAATGAACAAAGTAAATTAAATAAAGGGATTATTAGACTAGTAGTAGTAGCATCAATAACTTTTTTTGTTAATTTTATTTTGCCCATTTTTGTTTGGGGGAAAACAATTGAAGAAGATGGGCACATGCAATTACATAAACTAATGATATGGTAATATTATCAAGCTTGTCGTTTGAAAAAGGTAGCAACTTGGTTATAAACAACGTCTTTGGCAGTAACACCCATGATGAAATCAGCATGTGCATAGTCATTCACAAACTGCACATTCATCTTATCGATGTCGTGATACTTAAACTGGTCAAGGAGAAACTCGACATCTTTCACATCGGCCAGGCTATCTAAACCGCCGTAGCTGAAAAAAAGCGGAAGGTCGTGTGGGATCGCCGATATGTTGTAAGCCGGTGGTATCGCTTGACCGTAGTATTTTATGTTGTGATCACTACTTCCATAGTTGTATTTTCTCAACTCCTTGACTCTTACCGCTATAAAGAAATATATTGAACAATATAAGATTTGTAAAATATCAAAAAAAAAAAAACAGGGAATTTGTTTCACTTACTTTGAGCAAGGTGGATCATGTTCTTGGTGGAAGTAGATTGAGGTTCGTTCGCAAGGAACAGATCAATGGTTGAGGCGTTAAGGCAACAATTCTTTCCTATATTTTTGTAAAATTGCGTTAATTAATATATATTATATGTAATTAAATTATCAATGGTAGATTTTGTGAACTTTTATTAGTTGTAGCATTACCGGTGATAACGGAGAGTAAATCATAACAGTCGATCCCCGCTTTAAGGCATATAGCCTTTATAAATCCCCCTACTAATCCACTGCTAATGTCGTTTAATTATTTTAGGTAATGAAATAAAGCCAATAACAAGCAAATTTTTAGAAAAAAGGGCAAAGATTTACCTTTTGGGGTTAAACTCTGCCCATCCAAGAATGGACGTGGCCTATTTTTGAAAGATGATAAACAAGTTATTTTCATAAACATAGGCACATATTTGTATAAAAATAAAAAGGCGATTTAAAGGAAGAAGCTAGGGACCTCGGCCAGGAAGGATTTGGCGGCGATATCGCCGATGACGGTGGTCATGTGGCTGAGATAAGCAACGGGACTCAACATCGCCGCCGATCTCACTTTATCCACCAACCCTTTTTCCGAGAACGACGCAAATCCTATTAACGTCCCCTGACATTTTCCATTTCATTTTTCATTCTATAATGGGAAGATTACTATATGGAAGAAAAAAAAACAGAGAAAAAAATACGTTGATAACGTTGGACCCACCAAAGAGTGTCCGAGGTAGTGGATCTTTTGGCCTGTTAGGCCGTGGATATGGTCAAACATAGCAGGCAGATCGTAACTCACAAGCTCGTCCCACGACCAGTTCCAGAAAGCCTACGTCCACAACGTGCCAATGGTAAATATCAGTTTATTTTGCAAAGATTGCGTAATCTACTGGTTAAAACAGTGGTTAACTGAACCAGACCCGTTGAGATGGGTCAAGGTACTTGTGTCTTCTGCTGAACCTAGTCCCTCTTGTGTTCCCCATCCACACTTCGAATCCTTGATCCGCCAAAATCAACGGCAGATTTTGATCCGCTGGATTCAACAGCCATGACATCCCATCCTGCACATTTAACTCATGATTTGATTATCGTAGCTAATGACTAATGAGTATATATATAGTTTAAGCTATTTATGTTTGAGTAATGTAAACCATAAGAAATAAAATACTATTTTGTCAAAATCTTCAGAAGAGACAGTGTACGATTCCGCATACGTACTACTGTCGTCTCTGTCCACATGAAACTTAAAACATAAGGTAAGTCATAAAGTAATTTCTTTCTTGCAGGCTGATGAAAATAGTACTGATCATATCTCATCAAGTTTTGTACGTATGCACTTTATCGATAATTTTAAGAATTCGATGAGTACTAGAGTCGACACAGTTATCATATAACTTACGTACGGTACAACAATTCTCCCATACCAGAAACGCTGTTTATGAATTGATTTAATTAACTTTCTAGTAACGCTCAATTTATCACTTTATTTGTTGGAGACACATGTTTAACACTCATGCTGTCTCTTTATATAATGTTTTAATTTTACCCACCACTAAGATACACACCTATTTTTATCAA